GTTGTCATGCGGGTCCTGCTAATTGTAATTAATTAAGATACCTAATTATGTAAAAATATTACATAAATATATATGTAGAATCAATATATGTATATATATACGTATGTGTATATATATGTATATATCTATATAATTTTTTTAAAATATTTTTATTTATATATAGGTATATATATAGTGATATATACGTATATATTTATGTGTATAAATATATAATTATTTTGTTCTATGTGTATTTTGATATATATATATATATATTAATTTCACAATACAGTTAGAACGAAATAACACACATCTATATATTTTTTAATTATTTATTTTTAATTATTTTTGTAATTTTATTTTTTAGCGTATTTACATTTTAATTTTTTTTATAATATATATAAATATATATATAACAATAATTATATATATATTTAATCAGTATCAGTGTACGTGTAATTTGATATTAATATATATATATAATTATATATATATTAATAGTAAAATACACCTAGACGGTGTACATGTGTGTATGTATATGTGTATATATATACTTTGATCATATATATATAATATATATATATGATCTAAGTATATATTATTTATTTTTTTACACTATTTATTTATTTCAGTTTTATTTTCAGCCAGCAGGGGGACCACCTGTCATTACAGGCAGCCCCCCTGCTGGCAATACAGAAGCCAGCTATCTCCGGCCATGTGATTGTGGGGTCCTCGCTAGGACCCCACTCTCACACGGCCGGGGGGCTTCCTGGAGGACGGTCGTGCCGCGGGGGGCTCCCTGGGAGTCCCCCCCACCGCGATCGCCGGCGTGGGACCACCGGCGACCGGGTAAGTACAGAAAGACCGGAGGGCGTACTATTACGCCCGGCGGCGTTTAGAGCCGCCTATTAGAGGACGTAATAGTACGCCCTCCGGTCTTAAGGGGTTAATGGCAAAATCCGGACACTGTTGAATAGCATAACCAATGTCTGAATTTTGTCATCCTTGCTGCTGTGGATGGTTGTGCCCCATTTTGGTATAGGGCTATTCGGACTTCAGTAAATAACCCTGTAGTGTTCCTTCCATAGACATCACTTGCTGCACCTTTTATGGAATATATTTAATTCATTGTTTCAGCCTGAACTGGAACAAGAATATCAAGAAAAAATAAACATAAATGAAACCTTGAGCAGTATTGTCTGAAAATACAAAACTTAAAGGACATTCCAATTCTATCTTCCCACGCATGAATGTATTGGCACTTTAGCTTAAGCACTGGCATTATACAGACTTACATTCTTATTTTGAGTGATTCTCAAGTTTTATTTCTCCTTACTCTGTGTGTTGCCGAAATAGACATTTGTGAAGTGCTCTGGGCTGGATGCCTAGGTCAGTCACACAGGGAAGAGTTCCTGACAGAAAATGTGAATCACAGCCTGGGTTGCCATTTTGCCAAAAAAGTCTTTTGTTCCGCAAACTCTAGATAATAAAAAAAATATTCCACACTTGCCAGCTGTTAGCATTTCTTCTGCTCTGCCTCTCCCAACTCCAGCACTTACAGCTGCATTGTCATTTCCGTTTTTTTTATTTTTTATAAAATTAGTTTTCATTAAAATAGAACCTTTATGACAAACCAATATACTGGATTGAAATTCCAGTTATTCAAGATATCAAGACAAACGTAAAATAAGAATTTTTTTTTTTTTTTTTAAACGAGGATGTGTGCAGAGCTACCTTTGCTACGTCTTTGCAATTCGATGTTTATCTGTCTAAAACATAATATATAATGTCTAATACATGCAGTGACTTGTGAACTTTAAAGATGTGGGATTACAGACTGTACCCCCAAAGTACCCCAATGTACTGCTCCTCAGATGTGTTGGGTTTGCACCGTTAGCCTGGGTGCTCAACCCCTGACCCAATGATAGGTCATGTCCTATTTAACATTTTAGACACTCACAAAAAAAAGAAGGATTGCACTCATCCACAGAACAGGATGCGTAACTGATCCAGGGTGATCACAACCCATACATATGATGCCAAAGAAGAAGCCCCAGGCACTCACGGTTTTCAGAAATAAAGAAGTTTATTGGACCATCATGTGCACTGTTATGCACATATTGGTCCAAAAAAACTGCTATTTAACATTCTAAAACTATAGATAGACATATTTGGAGAACAACTACTTTAAAACTCCCAACTCTATCCCTAATACTATTATGCTATGACGGCCCTACGAGACAAGACAATGCACAAGCTTGTCTTTTAGTGTGTCTAGGATATAATGGCCCAATTTAAAGCCAATAGACGACTTCGGAAATGCTGTTAGTTAATTCCCAAAGAATTGGACATTTTTAAAAAATATCCCATACTCTTGACATGACAGGGCAGAGGTGAGGTAAAGAAACGGCAGAACTGTAAAGCCTACATATTATTTTGATTTCTATCACACATGGAACATTCTCAAATGCACACCCACACATATAAACATATATATAGACTATCAATTATGATAGACCTAATTATGGTATGATTGTCAGGTTTAAGTACTTGCCCTTCTGCCGAAGACTCTCTGCAGATGGACAGACGTAAACCCACCCTATTCGTCCAACTTTTTTTTAAAATTCTGCTTTTACCATAGTGGACCCTCCTTTAGTGCTGTTGGTCATTTTTTTTTTTTTTTGTCATTTGGTATTAGTGCCCAAGAGCTTGATTCCTATCTATCTAGGACACTTAAGGACCAGTATGCCCTAAGATTCCTGCCTCCTACTCTAAACAGTATCAGTTGCAAAGTGTAGTACAGATATGAAAACATAATCTACTTATTGAAATTACAGGCAAATCATTTAAATATATGTGCATTTTTTTATAGATTGTATGGTAACTGCAAATTATATTCCTACGCTGAATTTTCTCTCGAACAAAATATAGATGGATTTTTTTTCATTTAAAGCGCCACCCTGGTGTTCATATTTGCAAGTCAAGTACACTTCTAATATCCCAAAATTCCAAAAATATATACAGTTTCACTTCCGAGAGAAACAGACTTAAATATTTCAGAACAGTTAGGAAGAGAACTGTAATTTTTATTCTGAGGAAGCTGGAGGTGAGATGTAAATGACATAAATATTAAGTATAACTAAGATACGCTAGTAAAAATATATATGCGTGTCTATATATATCTTGGACGAATAATCTGTAGAAAATGTAGGTTATTGTTTGGATTGTGAATTAAAATCGAAGAGTGAAATGTACAAAATTATGCTAAAATGCCAACGGTTTGCTTAAACACACTCTGGTGCCAATTACTCTTTTAAGTCTGTTTCATCAGAGAGAATTTGCGAAGTTAAGTAGAGATATGGCATGAAATAGTAGGTGAGGATAAACTGTACACCATTCCTTTGACGAAGAGAGGTCTTTTTTTTCTTCTTCTAAAAATTCCCTGCTGGTCCATTGTGAGAGAGTAGTGAGATCTCAACATGACCAAGCATCCAGAGATTCTGGGATTTTCATGGGAGAGTGCGCAGATCAGTTACCTCAGAGAAGAGAATACAATGGGCTATATTACTACAGCCTTAGAAAAAAGGGGCATTTTTGTTACAGAGGTGGAGGGCTGCACTCCAATTAGTTTTGTAACCATGCACTCAGAAATGAGAGAGAATAGCTTTGCAGCATACCTTAACATCTTATGTTAGTAAATATCTTTGAAGTGGAATGGAAAAACTCAGAAAGTAAGTATGTTTAGAGTTCTAGCTTTCAAGACCACTCAGGCATATTGTACAAATTATAATGAGGCGTGTCCCTTAAGTGCCCA